AGACAGGCACATCAGATAAGGTGACTCTTCAGAGTTCACGCAGAGTGACGTGCTGCTGTTACCACCCTCTTCCTTCCAGCCAGAATGAGTGAGTCAGCAAACCCTTTATTAGCCTGGCTCCTGTCTGCCAGCTGTGTGTACAAAGGCAATGGGATGATGGCAGTATATTGTGCGTGATGTGACCCAGGGCTGTGAGGAGCCCAATTTACAAGCTCTATGAGAGATGCTGAAACTTGCAGGAAAATTTTAATTATATGTGGAAGCCTCTTTGCTGCCCTATGCAGTTGGCAATGAGGTCTGATGTACCTCATAGCTACTGGTTTAAATCCAGCCTTGGTTGGTTTGTGATTTTAAAGCGATAGTTATGGCATATAAAATGGTCACAGTGTAGTTTACACACACACACAAAGATGACTTACTAGTTGTTCAGACCAAAAGTGAATACTGAGCAAAATAGTGCTCTAAGTCATCATATTTCCAGGGCTAAAAGCGGTTTTGGTTTTGCATGAGAAACTTTACAGCCATACTAAAAATCCACATTTGCTACAAATCTTAAAAATTCCAAGGCATCAGAGGACTGGTACAGGGAAGTATGTGGGGTAGCAAGGCTGTGTTCTGTGTGGGCAGATTGTTAGAGTGGATATTAGCTGGCATTAGGATCTGTTAATGTAATACAGAGTTATTCATTGCAAATGACGCGTAGAGAAGATTTTGAGTCAGAGGGCACAGAGCCAGCTCTGAATTTAAAGGAGAATTTGAATAGTGAGTACTAAGAAATTTACATCTGTAGTTTGGGTGTAAGCTTAGCCAAAGGTGACCTGTAAGCCTTGAACAGAAATGGCATCACCACTGTATTCTTGAGAAAATAGTGGTATGTCACTGCCGAGGGGATGTGGTCACTGTTCTCGTTTCTATGTTTATTTTGATTATATGTGTGCATACAGATTTTAAAAATGTTTCCAAACATCAAACCTGCTAGTAAGTGTAAATATCTGTCAGGCTTTCCTAGTTGTTTTTACCATGAAATAGGGAGAAATTTAAAATTTAAATGCTTGAGATTAAAAACTTAAAGGAATGCTGTATTCACGAAGACTAGTCTGTGCTAGGACCTTTGTGAAACAGAATGATTTTCAAAGTATCTCTTACAAGGATTTAGATAAATGTTCCTGCCGATCGTTCTGTAACAGTGTAACATAGGGTTTGCTAGCTCCAAAAAAGCACGTAGCCACAGGGTCTGTGGGAGGCTGAGGTGAAGGCAGCTGCCTTTGCATGTGTGCCAGACCAGCGCTCCCAAGGTCCCAGTAAAACTTTAATTTACTGTCCCTTCTACCACAAAGCCCAGGTTGCCCAGAATACTTCCCCTTGTTTACTGAGGGTCTCTGTCACGGTGCCCACCACCCCAGAGAACACAGTGTGCAAGGTTACAGTGGTGGCAGTCCCAGAGACAAACTTCCATCCTCCCTTCATCAGGGCAGGGGCCTCTCTGGGCAGGTGGGGTGAGGGACACAGCACCTGGGACGCTGCTGGCCTCGCACGTACGGTGGGTGCACAGTAGGGCTGGGGGCTTGGAGCTGTCGTGCCATGTCACTGCTGCCCTTTCATGCATCCTGCTCTGCAGACGCTCTCCTGGAGGTACCAGCAGCTCTGCACAAATATTTTTGGCCTCAAATATACTGGCCTCAAGGAAAGGACCAAGGACAAGTGAGACCACCAGGAAGGAGGAAAGTTGATCTTCCCTGTGTCACCTCTTCACAGAAAGCCAGTCCATGGTGAGTTTGGCATCCTACTCTGTGTCTCACCCATTCCTTCTTCCCCCTCACTCTGGGGTTCATAAAGCTCCACCTGTCACTTGCTAGGAGCTGAGTGCCAGTCTGGCTATTTCCACCACTCCCACTGCTGCTGCAGCCATGGGGCATAGTCCTCCTAAATGCCAAGCTATGGTTTCTGCTTCCAGATGGGTTTTCACAACCCCAGACAGAAGATACTGTTGTGAATCCAGGTAGCTGGGATTCTCCAGTGCAGGAGAGACCAATATGTAACGGTCCCAGCATCCTGCTGCAGGAAAAGATAAGGTGAACCTGTCTTCTCTGAACTGTCTCTTTATATCTCCCTTCTGAAACTCTGTTACACTGAATGTGCACAGCTGGAAGCTAAAGTATCTACTCTAAATTATACATCTACTTCTGATATGGAGAACACTGTGTCTTATAAGTAGTATTTTAAAATAATCAGATGCTGATTCACTGAGAAAACTCAGAGGGGTAGAAATCAGATTCTCAGTGTGTGTAAGTTGCTATAACCTCTTCTGAACTACAGCAACTTATTCTGGCAGAAAGCCCATGCTTGAAAAAAACATTTCTCGAATTCTGCCTTATTAGTGGAGTGTGCGGCAACAGCTGAAAATCTAAAAAGAATTCTTTTAGGAGTTCTGCTGATGGCATTGTAACCTTCTTTTGCATAAAACAGCTAACACTTTTACAGTGATGCAGATTTATTTGGCACTTGCCTCAGTACTTCTCCTTCAGTGTTACTCACAAAACAAACAACATCTCAAAGGCAATGACTATTTTTCAGTTGTTTGCAGAACTTCATTACCAAAGAGGTACTGTGCTTGCTGGGCAAACAATGTGCAGCACTTGCTGGAATCTGCAATGCCAATGCCTGAAGGACTGATCTCAAGCAGCCCTGTTTCGTGGCTTTAGTTTTTTTCTTTTCTTTTTTGTGGCTCTGCTGCTTTGCAAACTGAACACTGAAACTGTAACATTGTTCATTACATCACATACAACAATTTCAGCACAGAAACAGAATTTCAGCATCTGTAAACAATACATATGATGGAAAAGCTTGATAAAGGTTGTTCTACACCTAATTATTTACTGCTATGGCTGTACGAACAACCTGTGCTCTTGGTTACTGCATGCCTCAGGCCTCACATCAGTGAGGAATTAAAAATTGTATGAGCTTTCCTGAGATCTTACTCCTTGTAGAAATGTGCTACTATCATTCTTGGTCTGTTCTGCTACAATCTGTCAGTTTTCTGTAGTTATAGGGACAGAACTGGCGTATCTCACTATTTACCTAGCTGAACCTGTGTTTTCCTCTGAACTGGCCATTAGACTTGCATTGCCCACTTTGCAAAAGGCAGTTTTCTGGTATTTCTACTGTGTGGTAGGGAGGCTTGAAAAATAGGAGATAGATTAATGTAGGGAAAGAAGTTCATGCCAGGTTTGTATTTACATACTTGTAACTCCATAAAATTACAAATTAGCTTTCATACTGTCAACACAGAGGGAAGAAATCCCCACATCCCTATAATATCTATGTATGATCTTATTTACAGAGATTACTTCTCTGTTATTGTGCACAGCCAGATTTGTGTTAACTTTGTGAAAGAAAAAACAGAAAGGGGAGGAGGACAGTAGCTGAGAACTGCGTGGAGCCGTCACATGCTAGAAGAGACCTGCTGGAGGTATATCTGTGTATTTCTTATAGGGGCTTTGCCATGTTTTCCTGCAGATTTCATTTTCCTAATGCAGGAAATGGTAGGCATTCTCATGGATGCGCACCTGGAGCAGCATGTGGGGAACCTGCAAGACCTCTGTTCTGTATGGCATACCTTTGCCTGTTGCCCTGAAGAATGTGTCTAAGTGGGCTCCCAGAGAGCTGTGAAGTTTTTTTCCACCATACTTTCCATGCGATTATTTATACACAGAAACTCAGAATTAGCTGAGTAGCTTTCCAAGCACAGCCCCTCTATTACGATTTATGGTAATAAAATTACCATATTACTTTTATGGTTGATAATTTCCATAAAAGTTATGTAACCCCAGCTAACTTCTACACATGCTCAGGGGAAAGGTCTTCACCTTTGCAGGGGTCTTTCTGACCTGTAGGTGTGATTTTTAGTATTACAATGAAAATAGTTCAGCTATAGGATACATGGACCTTGAGTATTTCACCAAGTTAGCAAGATATACATACACCAATATCTTGCTTTACTACATCCTTAAAGCTTGTTAGTTCCAGAATGTCCTTGATTAAGGGGTGCTAAGTGCTGTCTGTTCTCACATTGAGTACTGTGTGCAGTTTTGACCAGCACAATATAAAAAAGACATTAAACTATTAGAGAGTGTCCAAAGAAGAGCCATGAGGATGGTGAAGGGTCTGGAGGGGAAGCCTTATGAGGAGCAGCTGAGGTCACTTGGTCTGTTCAGCCTGGAGGAGACTGAGGGTCTTTGTTGTCTTCACATCCTCATGAGGGGGAGTGGAGGGACAGGTACTGATCTCTTCACTCTCCTAACCAGAGACAGGACTCGAGGAAATGGCAATTGTTGAGTCAGGTTTTGGTTGGATATCAGGAAAAGGTTGGTCAGTGGAACAGGTTGCCGAGGGGAGTGGTCACAGCACCAAGGCTGTCCGAGTTGGAGAAGCATTTTGGACAGTGCTTCCAGGCACACGCTGTGATTCTCGGCGTGTCCTGTGCAGGGCCAGCAGTTGGACTCGATGATCCTGATGGGTCTCCTCCAACTCAGGATGTTTGATGATTCTAATAAACAACATCCTGATTTACCGCATCCTTAAAGCTTGGTAGTTCTCGGATGTCCTTGACTAGGGGATGCTGGGTGCTGCTTTTCCCTACCCTGACTAGGTCTCCTTTCTCGCTTATCAGGCTTGAAAGTTTACAAACATCTTATACCAAAGAATATCCTGATTTAAGATAACCTCCCCTGTTCCGCGGCCTTTCCGCCGGGCCCATCCCGCCTCCCTGAGGCGCGGCGGGTGCCGCGCAGGGGCCGCCGGGACGCGGCGCGCCCGCCATGGCGGTGGCGGAGGAGGCGCTGAGGCGGCAGCTGGGCAAGGTGCGGAGGGGGCGCTCAGGGAGGGGAAGGGCAGGGCGGCCGGGGGGGAAAGGTCCCGCCGGTCCGAAAGGGGCGCTGGGCGGGAAGGGAGGCGATTTCGTGGTGGTGGCGGTCGGTGAAGGACTCCCGTCCCGTCCCGTCCCGTCCCGTCCCGTCGCTGCCCTGTCCGCAGCCGAGCTTTAAGCTGCGCGTGAACTTATTCCCGTGACTCAGGACGTGCCTCTGGGCTGAAACCTTACTGTTCACACAGAGTTATCAATCCACAGGGGAATTGGTAACTTTCTTTTTCTTTTCTTTTCTTTTTTTTTTTTTTTTTTTTTTTTTTTTCGTGGCGTTCCCTGCGTTAGCACCTCCACGCCCCGGGAACACGGGCGTGTTGCTGTAGCATCCCTCTGAGGGTTTTAATTTCCGTGTGAGGAACTGAGGTGGGCGTATTTAAATAGTTTTAGGTGCGAAATGGGCAGAGGTCTGTATCTGACTCACCTCGTAAATCCTCTGATCTTTAGAAGAGGACAAACTATTTGATAGGAATGATGCCTCGTTTTGCATTACAAATAGAAGGGTGGGCCAGCTGGGGAAAGATGGCTTTGGTTTCACACACAGATGAATCGACGCTTCCGAAAATGTGTTAAACCTAAGTTGTGCAGACATTCCTAATTTGGGCACGTTTGATTTTTTTTACTTTTTTTTTTCTTGCCTGACTTTGCAGAATCCTGTAAGACTGAATGGGGAGAAGCTGACTAAAAGGTGCCTCTTTAAGGCAGCTCTGTGTTTTCTTGTTCAAAATGGAAAATATCCCCACAGATGCAGCACTGCTAATGGGGTGCCAGACTGAAGAGAAATTTGGTTTAAGCTACTACTTTCTGATAAGTATTCCAGGGCAGTGAGAAGCTCTTTAAGCCACTGTCAGGCTGCAGTTGTGTTTGCTTAGGCAAAGGTTCTAAAACAACTCCAGGTTTCCTGAATGAGAGACAAAGGCTCTAATCTAGGAAATAGAAAATATTCTTCATCATTTTGGAATGTGGGAGGATGCAAATCTCTTGGAAGTTCAGGTATCAGACTGGCTGGGGACAGTCTTAAGCAGCAGTGATTCATTTTCTCAGCTTTCAAAGACAGCTTAAAAATGGGAAAAAAATATCCCAGACGCTAATCACTTACACATTTAGCATGTTTGTGGAAATCGACATCTTATGAAACTCTTCCAAAATATGTGCAGATGGATCTGAGTTTTACTGGGTCAGCAATAAAATAATCTCCTTTTTCTAAGATGTTTATGTTTTTATATTGTTTTTAGTTATTGTGTGCAGAGGAGACTAAACTTTTACTAAACCTCTGCTCACACAGCTGTAAATGGGAAAAACTGGTATGTAAGGAGTGATATTCAGAATTTGAGTTCTTGTGCAGCAACAGCAGACCTGCCATACCTTTAAAGTGTTTTTGTAATTAATTCTTTTTTATAATTTATTTCGCATCAAAACTATTTATAATACCACAAGTAATTATTACATTCCCCTTCTCATATTTCTGCCTTCTTTCCCTATCCTTTTCCCCATGTCTGGTAATGAAAGAAGAAGCCTTTGAAGTGAAACTTTTTCTTCCTGATTTTTTTTTCCTCCCTCTTCCCAGTATAAGTTCAGAGACCTGACCATAGAAGAGCTGAAGAATGTTAGCAAGACCTACCCAAACTTCACATTCTCCATGAACACATACAGTAAGAAGTGATACAATTACTTTGAACTAATTGTGGAGATTCTTACTTGCCATAGATTCAGACTGCATATAACAGAACCTAAATAGTGTTAATATCTTTCAGTTGTGTTCCTGTCTTTACTTTGACTCTTCCAAGTGTGCATAAATATAAAAACTATAAAAACCTCAGTGACTTATTAACTTCATTTTATTTCAACTTGTCAGTAATTATGTTTTAAATTGTTTTAATGTTTTAAACGATGTTTTAAATTCTTTATACGTAACACCATTTTCCCCATTTTTCATGATTGTATTGAAAGCATTTTGCTATCTGTATCTTATAGAGTGTATTACCAGAATCCCTTAGCCTGACTGAAAATTCCTAAAACATCAGAATTATCCAGGGGAGGTGGGACCTTTGTAGCATTCTAGTCTTGGCTCTTTCAGGAGCAGTGTAGTTGATTTCTAAAGAAAAATCAGTGTTGTATATTGGTAGTTGTGGATGGGATTACCATCACAGACTTGAAAGCATTTATTATTTTTTAAAATCACATTTTTAATTTCAGCCTTCAAGGATGGATCCCAGAAGGACCTCCTGAATTTTAGTGGTACTGTTCCAGTGAAATATGGTAAGATAAATCCAATTTTCTTGACAGTTATGAACCTAATTGTGAAATGTGTTGGGTGCTGCCTCTTAGCAGTTGTGCAGCTTCATTAAAGAGGGCTGGAAAGGATTTTGCATGAATTGACAGAAGCTGTTTCTGCAAAAACAGGTACAGGTGCAAAAACAGTTGCTGAAATTAAAAATTATTAATTATATAAGTAAATTAACTATTAAAAAATCATGTAGTTTGAGACTGTGTAGGCAAACTCTTTGGTTCTAGAGGAGAGTGTGTGAACTCTGTATATACAAGCCCTATGCTTGTATAGGCAGTGTCCAAAAATAAGCAGTAGGTGATTTTTTATTCTTAACTTAAAGCCTTTGGTAATGCTCTTAACAGCTGCCTCTTTGCACTAGTTGTTAAGTCCTAAAATAAATATGAAATGGTACCTTTAAGTGATTTCTTTGCTGGGAAAAGAGGACATGTTGGCTGATAGGAGGACCTTGGGAATCAAAACAACAACAGAGCTTTATATTGAGAAAGACACAATCAGTAGCACTTCAAGTTGATCCAGACAAGTCTGTGTTTGTTAACTAGCCTAAGTGACATAAATACTCAGTGTGAATCTGGAAAGTGATCTCTCAGCATTTTTTTCTTTGTTATTATGAAGTATAAATCACATCACACGCGTGACTGGTTTTTAGTGCCTCTTCCCAATGCAGAAGTTAATAATGGCTTTTATTTGTGTTGAACAGGTAATTCCTATAACATACCTATTCAGCTGTGGATTCTGGATTCTCATCCCTTTGCTCCCCCCATTTGCTTCTTGAAGCCAACTGCAAACATGGGCATTTCAGTGGGAAAGCATGTGGATGCGCATGGCAGGATTTATTTGCCCTACCTGCAGAACTGGAGCCATGTAAGAGGTGGAGTGGCTGACGGGGGGGAAATACTTGGGAATAATGTATGATATCATATAGAGATCCATGGAGTGGAGGGAGGGGTTCAGGGCTTTTTGTTTTCTGCATTTTATTTTTTTTTTAAATTTTAAATATGCAATGGTTATGCAAAGAGAAACAGAATGTCCCTTGAAATTACAGCTGTAATTATGGCAGTTCGAAGCACTTGTAAAGAAGTTGTAAGTGATTTTAAGGAAAATTATTTTAAGCTGAAGAAAAAGGGACTGAGTTTGTTCCAAAGCAGTGTAAGCCTCATGATACTTTGTTACTGTTAATAGTGACTGATAGTACTAGACCAACTGAGTATCCCCTGGAAAGTTCAATGGAAGGTTTTACCTTTTGGGCGTGTCCCTGTTGGCAGAGCTCTGAAACAGCACAGAGATTCTAGAGCCAATGCTGTTGCAAAATGATTCTATGCACTGTGTTAAGTTACTCACTTATATAGGACTACCAGGCCAGTAAAAATGATTTAATGAATTACAGCTTTCTAAAATGGATGGGCTGTATTTCACTTTATTGATATAGGCATTCCCATGAGAACTTTTACTGAATTTACTGTGTTTTGCCTGAAGAAGGACTGAATTGCCAGAACTCTGGACAGTTAAACTCATCTGAGAAGACTGAACTATTTTTCCTTTAGCTAGGATTTGTCCCTTTTATGATACTGGATAGATGTGGCTATGTCAAAGGTTTCCATATGTTTATGGATGCCTTCAAAAATTAGTTGCACTGGTAATTTCAGTTTTCCTTTTTGTTAAATTCCTTTTAACCCATACTACTGTTTGGAAAGTATCTTTTCAAAAAGTGATGCTTTTCTTTCCTTAAATGTTGATGTAAATGTTAAGGGTGTCAATATTTATAATTTGATTAAATTGTTATAACTGTGGGAGGTCAGAGCTGGTATTACTCTATGAAATATCTAGTCAGCTGTTTTGTTTTCTGTTTTGCTATATTTCAGCCTAAATCAACTGTCATTGGGTTAATCAAGGAAATGATTGCAAAATTTGAGGAAGAGCTCCCTTTGTATTCGCTGTCATCCTCTGATGCAGCCAGGCAATCAGAACTTCTCTCCTACATTGCAAAGATTACAGAAGGTGTGGATGTTTTCATGTACTTCTTTCTAATGTTCTTAGATATGTTCACTTATTGTTATTACTTGATATCACAAAAAAGACTACACAGTTTTAATATCTCGAAATTTTGGTGTTTGCCTGTCCACAGTGTTTTGTGTTTTCTCTGCATACTCAAAAGTACCTCTTTGAACAGATAGCTAAGGTTCTCTTTATTTAGTAAGCAGCTTGTTTTGGATGTTTGCATTTAAGCCTACTGAAAACTACTGTAAACTTGGTACTACTCATTTTTTGGAAATTACTGCAGAAAACTCAGAGATTTTATGGAAGGGAGATGTGATTTTATTCCTGAACAAGTTGATTTTACCCAATCACAGTCATCCATTCTCTCAGATCTCAGTCTCTCTCACTCGCTGTCACAAGCCCTGAGACCCAGGTGACCTCAGTCACTGCTGTGCAGCACTGAGAACAAGGAATGCTGGCTGTGGAGTTCCTTTCATGTGTCTTGGGTTCTTCTTGTTCAGAGCTGAAAAGCTGATTTTGGACTTGTGTTTTATACCCTTCAGGAGTGGATGCAATTTGGCATTTTGCCTCATTGCTTTATCTCACCCATTTTAAGTCTTGGGCAAAATTCCTGAATTTCACAGTTCTCAGCTTTTCCGTACTTGGGTGTTTTATGGCTCCAGTCCTGTTATTCTTCATCCTGATACATTTTCTTCAGGTCAGTCTTTTCTTCTTCCTTCATTTAGTGTAATCACGGATGGTGATCTGTGGCAGCTTGTGCAAACTGTTCCCTGTAACCCTTTTCTGCTGTTTCTTCTGGCAATTGTGAACACAAAGTGCTTGTGAGCTCAAATGTGGTGTGCACACGATATACATTTCTAGGCAATCAACCTTAAACGTTTTTGTTACAAATCTCTCTGCATTATACAGAATGAGAATCGTTGTGTTGCCAGTAGCACTGGCTAGGCAACCTCAGGTTCTTGTATTTTAATCAAATTCCGTTTTGCATGTGTTTTCAAAATATGAAATCTTTTACAAATTTTTTGACTGTGGTACATATTCACATCTGGAACAGTAGCAAAGGGAGTGTTGTTTGTGTGGTATTAGTGTCTAGCTTCTTGCTATTTTTATGCTCTTATATTTCTACTTAGTGAAAAAACCATACCTATCTAAAGAGGAATATTTGTGTTTTACAACCTTGCAGGTTGTGATGAATTTTCTGTGGTCAGGCTCGACCACTATTTTGAAAAGGTTTGTGTAATTTTATTTAACTCTGGCACAACCATGATCCTTTGTGAAGCAGCAGTGATACAGTGTGGATCAGCACCTAAATTTGTGGTTTTCTTTTAATTGTAGGAGACACTGACATGAAATCAAGGAGTAAAATTGGAGGCAAAAATGAAGGATGTTTTAATAAAATTACTGTTGTTGGAGCTGGAGATCTTGGCATTGCATGTGTGCTAGCAATTGCAGCAAAGGTACAGAATTATAAAACAGTGTAAAAGTAGAAACAGACCTGAATAATAGAGAGGCTTCCAGTCTAGTTCTCAGTGTCTGACGCTAAGAAATGTCTCAGCAATTTTAACAACCCTGTTGCTGCTTAAGTCATTTGCCTCTTCAGTTAACTTACAGACATGCAGAAGTGTTAATTTCTGCTCTGGTCTCTCAGTCAGCTGTTTTTTTTCAAAGGATTGAATATTGAATTCACTTACTTTGAAAATCCTTACTTTAAGGGTTCTTGCCTGAATGGTGGCCTCTTACAATTGGGATCTCCTAGTCCCCTGGAAAAGGAGGGTCTGTAGATGATTTGCACTTCACTGTGGCTGTATGTTAGAGACAACAGTGACATCAACATTTATAACTTCCCAGAGATAGTTTTGTGATTTTTCTAATGACTTGTTTTGCAATGTGTTATTTTCCAATTAACTTTCTAAACTAAATTCTTTTTTCTTGTGATTTGGCTGTAATTTTGGTCAGTAATTTTGTTTGGTTTGTACGCAGTACAAAAAATACTGGAATTGGAGGAATTTTGGTGTTTATTTCTCAAGTTTTGTTTTGTTTTATTGTTGATCTGTGTTATTTTTATTCATACAGGGTGTTGCAGACAAGGTGATTCTTTTGGATCTTTCTGAAGGTGCAGCAAAAGGAGGGACCATGGACTTGGAGATCTTTGCTCTGCCAAATGTGGAGATCAGCAGAGGTATTGGATGTTGTTTCTGGAATGGGAGCAAGTGCTGTACTGTGTGAGCTTGTGCTCGTTTTAATGAGAGCAGAACACCAGGGGAGACAGAGAGGCATACGGGCTGTCTTTTTTAAAAGATGTGTTCTTTTCATAGCTTCTTGCTTTCCTCTGTCTCTTCAGGGTAAAATTGGGAAAGGAAGGTTCAGCAAAGCTTGAAAGCTTTTTTTTTAGGCTTTTTTCCTTGTTTATAGAGGTAGAGGTATGTTAGTGTGTACTTCCAGGGTAAGAGGCTAATGCTGAAATTGGAATCATGCAGAAATACAGAGAAGCCAAGCTGGTACTTCAGTGTCATAGGCAGAGAGAGGAAAGGACGGGGAAAAATAGGTGTATGTTAGGGAATTGGAGAGAGCTGTGAGAGCAGTGTTAAAAAGGCTGATAAGTAAAGGAATTTTTCGAAGTTCTGCTTTTCTAGATTGTGTTCGTTACACATGCCAATAGTTAGTTCTTAATCACTATCACTGCATATTCAAACAATGAGTTCTCAAAAATCTTGTCCTCAGCTGTGAGTGTGCAATTCAGCTGAGTCGATGCCATGTCTCTGTAAATAGTGATGATGGCCACAGTCTGTGGTCTGGGATGCAGAGCTTGGGGCAGTGCAACTCAAAGGTTCTTCCACAGAGGAAGCTGAAACTGGAATGAGCAACTTCCCCATTCTTCCTTGCTCATGTGTCATGGTTTGCATGTTCCTTGCATGCTCTGCAAGAGGAAATGAGGGGCTTTCTTGTGCTTCTGTTGTCATTTACCTTACTTTCGGGACAGGGACTTGTTCTGGTTCCACCAGGCATCTTTGTTGCTTACTCTGCACCTGGCATTGCCTGCTGTACATTCTTTGATCTTATCTTGCAGGTTTTACTGCCAGCACACTTTTTTCCTGAACCCTGGTTGTGCAACTGTACCACAAATCTGTTTGTGCCTTTGTGGTTGTCTATTATATGTTTACATTGAGCTGTGGTACAAAAAGCTTGAATGTTGTTGCTGGTGTGCTCTTTAGCAGTGTTACAGTGTTCCCCTTCTTTAACAGTTGGAATAAAAATGAAGGAGCCTTTTCAGGGATGTATTTTCTTTCCTCTTCTGCCAAGAAAACTTGGAAAAGTTTATCTGTCAACGCTATCTAGATTTTTTTCTGCTCTCTACTCTGTAAGCTTGGACAAATTGCAGTCTGCCTTCTGTGATTGGCAACTGTAAAACAGGAAAGTGGTTCTGTGGGAGAACTGTGTCTAACAGGTGCTGTGAAAGTGCCCCAAATTCCACACTGGGGAATTTGTGGGGGACAGGAGGTGGAGAATCCCTGCCTAAGCTGGATGCTGCAGTTCAGCCTTTAGAACAGCTCTTTGTCTTGCATCCAAGACTATCAATAGAGTGCCATAAATTTTAAAGACCTCTTTTATTTTGTATTTTCAGATTTTTCTGCTTCTGCTGATTCAAAAGTTGTGATAGTTACAGTTAATTCTCTGGGTAATGCTCAGACTTACCTCGATGTCATACAAAGCAATGTGGATTTGTTCAAAGGAATTATTCCAGCAATATCACACTACAGTCAGAATGCTGTTCTCCTTGTTGCTTCTCATCCAGGTATGTTGGTACTTTGCATAATATTCTGTCCCTTACCTGGCTTTTTCCTTGGCCTGTTTTAAAAATACGTTACTGCTGAACGTTACTAGTCAGAACTTCTTGCTACTCTGAAAGATGTTTTCCTTTTCATCTTGGAGCAGGACACTGTCTTTGAGGGTTTTTTCTTTACTGTTACCAAGGTAAAAGAAAATAGTGTGCTTTGTTTTGTATAAAAGGTATGTATTTCTGTATGTTTCTTTATGTAGTTTTGACCTGACTGTCTACAAAATTCGCATCCATTGGCTGTTGTGTTGTCAGTTGTGATTTTTATGTACACATTTCTCCTGTGCAGGAAGCACAGATGCGTGTGTGTCACGTGCCATGTGATCACACTCACAGGCTACTAATGTACAAAGTATAGTGTTCATAGTAAATATTGCAGCTATATTTTGGTGACTGTTGGGTCAGTGATACTGTGAACTAAGACAAAGCAAAATCACTGCTTAAAAGAGAAAGAAGTAAGTGTGAGCCTCTGTCCTGTAAATGCATTAAAGACAGCCCTTGTGTCTATTTCTCAAGTAGATCTTACCACACCATTTTAGGGCTGTGGAGGTGGAGCAGAGGAGAATTTTTCATAATTGTGATTCAGAGTTTGCAGTTGTGTTGAATTTTGAGTGGTCCTTCATTGGCAACATCCTTTTCTTTCCCATTTAGTTGAAGTAATGACATACGTGGCGTGGAAGCTGAGCGTGTTTCCCAAAAGCAGAGTGATTGGAGTAGGTGCCAACCTTGACTCTGAGAGATTTCAGTACATACTGACAAACCTTTTGAAAGCAGAGGTGCTGGCAAAAGATGCCTGGGTTATTGGTGAACAAGGGGAAGACAAAGGTAAAGTGATACTTTCTTATAACTATGAGCAGATAATGTCCTGCCACTGCTTAAGTAATTGAATATTTTAAAAATAATTGAGAAAAATAACAGAGGCAATAAGAAAAGTAAGAAGAAGAGTGGTAGATTTTCATAATGGTTCTCAGTAAGACAGCTTTGGTGTGTACCAAAGTCTGTAGACCTGGAGTGATAGCAGAAGTATTTGACATTTGTCACGGTAAAAAAACCAAAAATACAAACCAAAAAAAAACCCTACCAACTTCATGCTTCTTTTTTTTTTTTTTTTTTTTTTTTGCTATAACAGTATAGTAAGAATACAGGTTAGAGGTACTGAAAGAGGAAGGAAATATGGTATAATATATGGCAGGTTACTGCTACTCTAACAATTATTACACATTAATTCAATCATCTTTAAGCAAGTATCTCTGGCAAGGTGCTACTGTAGAGTTTATGTCATCACTCCAGGGAACATTAAAAAGTTGTCATCTACATTTGGGTTGTCGCAGGGGAAGGAAAGTTTGGAAAGCCTGAATTTTTCCTTTTATTTTTCTTCTCTTCGCCTTATCTGGTACCTATTTTAGTCACTGTTTAGATATGCATTTAAGCACTGATTGTTTCTTTTTAGTATCATCGTGGACCAGTTATAATTTAGTTGCAAATCAAATGGAAGGAATGGCTGCTCGTAACTCGAGGGAAAAGGTGGCCAACAGGTAACACCATTATAACCCTTTCCTTTTCTTCATGTTTAGGTACTTGATGTTTGCAGAGTTTCTCCTTTTTCTCTTTATGAATTGGGCAAACTTTACTCTAAAATGTTCATACATTGAGTTTATAGCAGACTGTAGGTCGTGTTGTCATTCTGCTTTATATTCCTGTATATGGTCACTGTTTTTCTGAAGTTCTTAATAACGTTGTGCCTGTGGCAATCTAAGGAGAAGACACCAGAATATCCACTACAATATCAGAGGCTGCCAGTTTGGTTGTGTGTTTAAAAAAAAATAATAAATAAGCCTTCTGGCACACTTTTCTCAGAGCTTGTGTTGGAAGCATTTGCTTCAAAGTAAAGCACAACTTTGGGTGAATTTATGTGATTCAGTTAGCCACATCTTAGTTACACCTCTTGACAGAAAAGAGAATTGTTACTACCATGGGTAAAAAGTATTGTAAAGAAATTTTTTAAAGCAATTCTTTATTCCATTCTGTTGTTTTCTAAAACAGAGAATTGTATTTTTATAGTATATTATACCTGGTGTGGTGCACTTAATCTGTCTTTTAGGTTTTACATATACACCACAGTAGGAATAATTAAAATCTAAACATCATGATTTTCTCCTTTTCCTGGTTTATATATAGAGCTATGGAAGTTCTAAAGGGAAAAGGTCAGAGATCTTGGTCTGTTGGGCTCTCAGTTGCTGATTTGACTGACAGCATTCTGAAAGATAAAAGAAAGATTCATTCTGTATCCACTCTGGCAAAGGTAAATGTGTTATTAATATTTTTTGGTTGGCAGTGTAATTATATTATTTATACTAGGTATGACCATCAATTTTAGCAGACAGGCATCTCTGAAGCAGTGCTACTGCTCGTTACTTTCTTCCAACCACAGCTTTCAAATATAGTCAAAAAATCAGCAAAAATCAATTATTGCTTTAATCTGAAACCAATATTAAAAGTGGATTATTCTCCCAAAAATACAAATGTAAAAGGAAATACATTCAGGGTTGCTGACCAGCACCCCTGCAATAGCTGGATTTGGCAAATGAAGAGAAATGTGTGAATTGCAGCTCCTGAGTGTTTAGTATTTTTGAATGTAGATTTTTTTTTTAGAGGCTGAAAGAGTTCAGTATCTTTTATGAAAGTACAAAATGCATTTTCTGCCAGTATTTTATTTGGCCAGGTTTGAAACTGGTCTTTTTACTCCTTGATACTTTAATTAGAGGCGAAGGTTATGAAGCTTTAGTTAACTTAAAATTATAGACTGAACTTTGTTTAAAGCTTGTCCTAAGAGGCTTCGTTGAAGCATTAAGTCATTTTGTATGATGAGAAAACCCATGTAGAAACTCGTACTTGTCCCTTCAATTTAGAGCCTTCAAAAGGATGATTTGCATGTTCCAGTGCAGGGAAGTTAAGCTGGTTGTTTATGCTTTTGAGTACAAACATAGACCTAATTTCATCATTATGTTTCAAGTAAAGTTTTTAATAGTTTATGAACGAAATTCAGATACAGAGGAGTGACAAGTCTTACATTCTGTAGTTACTCTCCAGTTTAAAATTTCCCATACAGATTCTAAAAATAAACACACTCTACAGTGTAAACTTGAATTAGAGGGATATGAGTTAGATGAATTCTCTCACAAAGTAAACATGGGATCAATATTTGAAAAATGTTCCCCAAATAGCTCTCTTTTGCTACATTTCTTAATTTATTTTGGTCAATCTTAAAAGAAGCAATGATACCGTACTGTCAAGCATCCCTGCTTGTTCTTCCTAAGGAATGGGTGTTAATAGTATAAACTTTGCCTGTGTTATAGAGATCTGATATATCTATATTGGAAAACTCCTCCAAGTGTGGCATGGTTCACAAATTTTTATCTGCATCATAATCTTTTACAGTTTCTATACGGTAAACCATTGCACAGTATCTAAAATAACTGGAATTTGACCCATCCAAATGCCATATGGTGGAATATCCTTGCTTAATTAAAACAATCAATTATTTTGTATACTTTTGCTTCAGATGGCAGATATAAGTAACTGTGTGACAGTGTTCTTTGTGTGTTGTTTCAGGGATGTTGCAACATAAACAGTGAAGTGTTCTTAAGCCTCCCGTGTATCCTTGGAACTGGGGGAGTGATTGAAATGGTCAAACTGGAAGAAGACCCAGTGGTGCAAGAGAAACTGCAGAGCAGCGCAGGGTCCATTCATGACCTTCAGCAGCAGCTGAAGCTGTAAGGAAGCACAAGGGAGACCTCCCTGTCTGCTCACACAAGCCAGGGACTCGCAAGGCAGAAGAGGTTGCTTCGTATATATATGGATTTCTATATAAAACAGGGAGTTTTGCTACTTTACTTTCCCAAAGAGCTTTCTAAATTTTGGTTTAAATTATGTAATACTGCTCTGTACAGTAATGCCTTCTTTGGAAAGTGCACTTTCGGTAGCCAAAATGGGGAGGGTAACGTGCAAGAATGTTTTACCTGAATTCAGGTGACACTCTGGTTTTTGGTTGCTAATCATAGCCCAATTCTTGGGTTATTCTTAGCTCTCTGCACCTCATTCCATAGCTCCATCTTTCATGGCTGTCGCTGATGCTCTCATGTCAGTGAACTCCTGCTAATTACTTAGGGGAGCACAGTGTTAGTGATACCCTTCTGAGCTGAAGTACTGGATATGGATTTGTGTTGCATGTGTAATGCTGTTGGAAATATTCTGGTAGTGACTTGTTTGATTTTATTTCATAAGGACATTCGGAGCACTAAGGCATCTACAGCCCTCAGTACACGCATGCAGCACTGGAACAGGTGCACTTCTGAATGGAAGGAGAAGGGGCTGGGCTTCAAATAAAGGATAAAATCCGGCAGTTAAGGAATGCAGAGGTACCTGTGTGTTCACACCTTGCTCCAAAGCCAGCTGAGTGCAGTGAGCTTTAGGTCATGCTGAGGAACATAGAGCTGCTTGAGAAGGCAACAGTACCTGCAGCCCACCTCCTTGGAGGCCAAGGGTGGGATGAAAAAGCAGGATGTGGATTTTTAGATAAGTCAAAAAGCAGACGTTTTTTGAGATAAAGGCTTGGTTTGGGTTCTAACCTCTTGGTTTGCTGTACTGTAAAAGACTGTATTCATCCTGGTTGTACCTCATCATCACATTGCAGGCAGAGACATGGGCTCCGCTCCTGCTGTGTGCTGCTTAGGAACCTCATTCCATGTTTACGCTTTGAGGGGTGGCCGGTTTTAATGAATGTATTTGGACGAAGCTTTCTAAGCAAATGTAGGGTCCGTGGCAGAGCCAAAGATCTGTTCCTTTGTGCCTTCTGCTTATATCTCACAAAGAACCAGACTTGCAAGGAGTTCTGGGTGTATATTGATCTTGGAACTGAGATTAAAAATAGAAAGGAAAAAAAACCTTCAGTGATTCAGACTCTTTTTGTGGAAAACTCAAATTTCCTTTATTGTGGGGGTCGGTGATGGCACAAAATTAGTGGTGACTGCAAGTAACCAAATTTGCTGCTGTATTTTTAAAAAGCACTGAATGCAATGGCTGCAGTTTGGGGTTTGGGTTATTTCCCACTTACTTTGGAAAAAAACACTACGAAATTAAGGGTTTACCTTGTTCTTCAAGGTGTCGCTTCTCATCTGTTAAGCATTTCTTTTCATGCGAACAGTCCAGGTGTTGTTTACTTAACAATTTTAATCTTAAAAAGCTGCCAGCTCTCACGGGTACGTTTCGCGCATTAAACGCTCCCGATCTTGGCGCTGGCGTCGCGTTCCTTCACCCAAGAACTAAAGGGCCGCAGCTCCGCCGGCGCGGTGGGAAGTGGAACGTGGCTCTATCGGAGAGGATGGGGGGGAAATGAACTCCCGGCAGGGTTTTTTCCCGATGAGCCGCGGCGCCGAGGCGGGCGGGGCGCTCCGTGCGGGCCGCGGGGCGGGGCCGCGCCGTGCCCGCCCCGTGAGGCGCGGGCGGCGCCGCTGCCGGAAGCGGTCGCGCGGCCGCTTCCTGTGTTTATGTAGGGCCGGTCGGGCCGGCGGCTCCGGGAGCGGCTCCGGGAGCGGCTCCGGCAACAGCGGCGGCCGCCATGGCGGTGTCCGAGAGCCAGCTCAAGAAGATGCTCACCAAGGTGCTGCCGCGGCCGGCCGCGCTCGGCGAGGGGCGGGAGCGGGGCCCGGGCTCCGGGAGGCTGTGGATGGGGCTCAGGGAGGAATGGCGCGCCGATGGCAGAATAGCCCTGCGGGACTGCGGTGCTGGGCTGGGGCGCTGCCAGGCGCCGGCCGGGGTCGGAGCACGGTGTGGGCCGTGGGGCTGTGCGGTGTCACTCGTGGAGGGGGAAGGCAGGGTCAGCATCGTCCCCCGGGGCGGGCGGGTTTTGTGATCGCCCGTGTTCAAGGAAACGAGAACATCTCTCGGAAGGCAAATCATTAATCACATCGTGAATCATGCAGAGCCACGTGTGCCGCTCTCCAGGTGAAAACTGGGCTTTGTCCAGCGGCCTGACCTGGAAATCCCAAAGGCTGAACGCGTACGGGGAGTTATGGGTTGGAATGAAATACCCTAAGGCTGAACACTTAGGGAGAGGTTACGGGTTTGTTGGGGGGATTTTATAGCAACATTTAATCATTTTATTTGCACGGTTTTAGAATGAAATGCAGTAGTTGAGAATCTGATCAAAACACAAGAAACGTTATTAAAGGGTCTTTCACCTGCATGGACTCATAAGCAGATTTTTTTAATCAGCTTGAAAATAAGTGTGAAAATGGGTACTTAGTGTCAGCAAGTGAGATCATGTACGTATTTGTATATACTTGTCTTTTATAAATTAGTCCAATGTCCTCATTCCCCCACACTTGCTCATTTTATACTCCCATCTAACTTTCTGTAGGTCAGTTCAAAGTGAAATGTGCTTGTTAGCTGATGAAAAATGAAGGTGCTGTTTCACTATCTTATATTTGTTTTTCTAAAATAATTACACTTTCTGTTCTACAGAGAAAAGTTCGATGATATTTCCCATATTGAATAGTTCAGTGTATGAGACAACGAAAGACCCCTAGTTTTGATTAATGTCAGCACTTAATTTAACTTCAGGTGTTTACCTGCTATGTGATCTTGAAAAGCTTCATCCTTCTGTGATCTGTTTCCTGATACATAAAATGAGGGGGATGCATTTACCATCTGAGAATGGAGGAGGAAAAAAAAGTCAGGAAATTAGGAATTCAAATTAATCAATTTTATTTACCTTTGTAGTAATGACTAGGATCTTATATTTTCCAAAAACATTTTGACATTTCTGGGAAGTGGATCAAAATATGGGAATTAACAGCTCCTGTAGCACTTAGTTTTGCTTGTGGTAGTAGCTGAAATCTTAAATGTGTCTCTCTACTAAATAATTATTCATCACTCTGTGTAAAAACTGTTTGCAACAATATTACTTTTCTTAGTTTTAACAGACATATGAAAATACTTATTTAATGTTCAGTTGTTGGGCCTAATTTCTGAAAGCACCTCAGAGAAACCCCAAATTTGTCTATTAGCCCTCTCAGCCACTGTGTACCAGACTCCCAGTGTGCCTGCTGAGCAGGCAGGTGTTGTTTTATCGATTTCTTGACTCAACGGACTTGAGACTCTTATGCCAAAAGTGGAGTTAAATCCTGGCTCTGCATTCTTCTTTACTGTGAGAGTGATGAGGCACTGGAACAGATTGTCCAAAATTATGGATGCCCCATCCCTGGAATTGTTCAAGGCTGGGTTGGATGGAGCTGTGAACAATCTGATCTAGTGGAAGGTGTCCCTGCCTGTGGCCAGGGATTGGAACAAGATGGTCTTAACCATCCATTCCAACCCAAACCATTGCATGATTCTGTCATCCTTGTACTTGTTAGGAGCTTCTGTTAGTGGAAGTCAGTTCTCTTTTAATAGTGATTATGCCAATCTTCTTGCAGGTATATCCTATTTGTTCCTATGAAAAGACCCCTCTTCTAGAAGTGACAAGCTCTCATTTGTATTGTGGTGGCACATTTGGTGCTGTGGGTATGTAATGCCATTCTCTGGCTGGCATACATGAGTTTTCACAGACCTCTGTCCCAGTATTCCAGCAATGCCTGTTCTTCCCTTCTGCCAGGCATTAGGGAAGAGGGAGGAATGTAGTCAAATGGTAGCAAAGTTGTCTTTCCTCTGTCAAGCCCTTCCTGCACACTCCCAATCCTGCACCCACTTCCCAAAGGAGGCTGAGGTGCTTTGTGGCAGCTCTGCCATCAAAGCAGCACCCAGTGGCTGATTGACCTCTGTGCTGGTGCCTCCCTGCACACACAGGCATCCCTACTGGAAGGGTTGCTTTTCCCACAGACCAACATCTCTGCAGAGAGACTGTGTGGCTGTTTTGCCCGTGGTCATTTTAGGCAGATAAGTCACAGCATCACCCAAGGTGCTGGTGCTTTCTGCAGGCTGAGGTGGCATTATGGGAAGCGATGTCGTGCCTTCAGCTCTGCTCAGTAAATACGAGTGGTCGTGCCCAGGAAGAGCATCCCTGTCATCTCTGTAGGTAACAGGGAAGAAGAGTTAATTTCTAAGCTTCACAACTCATGAATGTTTGTCAGAGGCAAGGTGACCTTTAGCTGTGGCACCACAGTTTGCTCTTGGATAATGTCTGAATTAATTTGTTCGGACGTTGTTAACATTTGAGAGCTTTGGATATCAGGCATTTCATTGTGCTGAGCCCTTTGTCTTCCTGAAGGGATGTCTGTGTTCCTTAAGACATCTGAAGATTGCAGGTTTTTTAAATTGTGTTACAGTAAAAACATTGTCAAGGGACCACATTGCTGGCTTTTCTTTTTAATAGTATTTATTGTGAGGAATGACCACAAGGCTAAAAAGCTGCACGGTGTGGTGAACCAACCCGGGAGCTTTGCTGTCTGGGGGTTATAGCTCTGAGGCTGCTATGTCCTGTGGCAGTGTATCTGTGGTTTACAGGTCATCTGTGCTTTGAGCTGCTCCAGACAAAAGGAAGGGAGTGAAACCAGTATTACTAGTGGTAATATTGTGCCTTGATATGTGTGCTTTCTAGCTGATAAAACACGTGAAAATACTAATCAGTGATGGATAAATACTGTGTTGCTTTGGAAAGTGCTGTGAAAGATACCTGTGAGATTCAGATCCTAGATAAGTTTTTACCAGGAATGTTCAAAACATCACTATATTTTTCCGGAGATGCCTTATTTCTCTTTTTTCTCAAGATACACACATATCTCTCACATCTTGCTGCTTATGGTAGAGCGTGAAAGAAAATGGAGTAGCTTTTCCCAAATCACTTATGTATGGACCATTATTTAAGAGTAAAAACATCTTAACACTTTGTTAAAGTTTGGTAAGTTTTATAGGCAGTGTCCAGTTCATAGCAGTGACGAGTTAATAATGGCAATGCCAGTAACAGTGTTCAGTTCATGGACAAATGAATTCTTATTCCAAATTAAGAATGGAGAAGAATATCCATGTATCAGTGTTTACATCTCACAGATGCAGTCTATTGGGTAAAATAAAATTAAATTACTCTGAAAGTGTAGTCTCTGAAGTAATTTCTATCTCTTTTGTTTTTCAGTATAAGTATAGAGACCTAACTATACAGGAGACAACCAGTGTTATTACTCAATACAAGGACCTCAAACCTGTCATGGATTCATATGGTTAGTCTGCATGAGAAAATTTTTGTTATTGAATTGGTGATGGCTTAGATGTATTTGTTAGTTTTTGTGGGGGGAAAAGGAGGTTAAAACCAGAAAACATAATTTGAGTTTCTCTTTTTGGTCTTTGACATCAGTACTTCTTTAGAAACAGTTATTTTCTAAAATAACTTTTCAGTATTTCTTAGTCTGTGTAATGTGCCAAAAAGTGATGCATTTTTCACAGCTTTGCTTTTAATCACTCAGTGATGTCATATCTGTTGGTGTCCTGAGATTGCTGGTATCTTACAAATTCAGCTGTGCTGCCATATAAAGATATTTTTAGAGTTCTGTTTGGAAAGAACTGCAAATCAATGAGCAAATGCTTCATTAAAATTAATTGTGGCAGTCCGTAAGAGTGTGCAGAAAACATAGTCAATGTAGAAAATTGTCATGAGGGTTTTGTCATGTAAATTCTTGGTGGCAGTCACTGTTTTTTAGCTATTTTAAAGGCTCTACGTAAATTTAAATTTATTAAGTGAAGATGGTGTCTGGGGTTCGCTCCACGAGGGCATGGTTTCACAGAGTACAGTGAACCAGCACAGCTGCTGAGGTCAACCTCCTTATGATCACCCTTTTAAACTGTCACCTGTGGGATTCCTCTGAGTGTTGCTTTATATTACCAATACATCACCAGAGATTTTAAAGCCTTCTGCTTTTTAAATTGTGAATTTGAATTCAGAAATATTAAGAAGGGGCTTGGACGAGTAAAAGATAAATCAGTTCTAACTTGAATAGCTGCAAGCCAGCAGCTGTCACAGAAATAAAAATTCACAGTGACTCGAGAAACAAAACAAGAGGGAAGGGACTGTGACTGGAATAGCTGCACAAGTCTGTCTGAGGATGGTGATCAGAATTCCAGATAGCTTTGAGCTGTAGCCATTTGTGTTACCTAATGCTTTCTAAGCTACCTGGAAGAGGCTAAGCACAGAATCACTTACAGATAATCCATATTATTTGTGGCAGTGACATCAGCAACAAGAAAATGGTTACATTGCTGTTGAGTTCGTTTTCAACTTCATATTAATAATTAAATACATGCCCCCATCTAAGTCCCAACATGTTCTACCAACCTTTGCAGAACTTTAGCACCACAGCAATTGTACACTGTAAGCTACGTTTGATGTATGACTAGAAACTTCCAGGTGAAGTTAGGAAGACAAAAGCTTTCTCAGCAGAAACTGGTTTATTCAGCCAAGAATAATGTATTGGATTAAAACTGTGAGAAAACTAAATGCAGCAACTCAGTAAATGTAGGTCAGGGTTCTTGTGTGGTTTGTGAACTAAAACAGATTTGGCAGTCAGTCAAGTGCTACTCATTTCTTCCTCTTCAGTGTGTTATTGTTTGGTTAAATTACCTTTACTGACTCTGTAATAAATGCCTGTGGCCCAGTAATTTTCAGTACTCTTGCTGATCTGTTTGTTTGGTGAAAACATAAGAAATTCTTTACAGTCCTCAGATGACAGCTGTTTTCTGAAATTAAGTTTGAGTTCAGATTATCTTTGCAGCAATTTGCATGATTTGCAGTTTGTAAGGTTCCAACATGTTTTACTTGCTCTCTGAATGAGGAAACAGTTTTATTTGCAGTGAAGGTAGTTTGACAATATTTAGTCATTCATTTCTTGGAAATGTGTTATTCATAAGGAGTTGCCTGACTGTAGAAAGTCATTTGCTAGTCCATTAATGTGTAAGAGCAGAACCTTTCAAGCTGAGTTTATATGTATGCAGCTTTGCAAACCTATGCCAATAAATACATGAGGTAAAACCTGAGCAGAGATTAACACAGCAAACGTGTGTGTTTGTTCCCTTTCAGTTTTTAACGATGGTTCCTCTAGGGAGTTGATGAGCCTCAGTGGAACCATTCCCGTGCCTTACAGAGGTATGCATTTGTTATAATTATCATCACCCCTCTATTTTCCCACATTACATGAAAAATTATTTAGATTTGTCCTGGTTCAACTTCACTGCTTCAGTGATCACTGTTTTTCCGAAATTCTTTACTTGCCCAAAGCAAAATATTTTAAACAAATTGTTCCCTATTTATGCTGCAGGATAAAATTTGAACGTTGAGCATTGCTTCTTCAGTCTTGTACAGCTCTGTAACATCTTTTTTCTTTCAATACTGCACATTTTTCAAGCTTGTCAATTGAATGAGCAATAATACAAACCATTTGTTGCTGCAACTAGTGATAATTCAGATTAGGATCTAGTAATGGTGCATTGTAGAACAAATGAGATAATGTATTGGTTGTAAATGACAGTTGTAGATCACAGTTAAATTGTTCTGAAAATGTTGAGCTGGTGGCCATAATGTCAGCTATTCATTGAATGTTATTAGCAGATTTTGGCTTCAGCTTCCAACTGTGCAGTTGAGTTTGAGGGGTTTAGGAGGTTTTTTTATACATCTGGATACAAGGGGATGGTTGAAGATCTGGAATAACTTTTAAAATCTTTCAAAATATCTTTTCTAGGTAACACATACAATATCCCAATTTGCCTGTGGCTGCTGGACACCTACCCTTTCAACCCCCCAATTTGTTTTGTTAAACCCACTAGCTCTATGACAATAAAAACTGGGAAGCATGTTGATGCAAATGGAAAGATATACCTTCCTTATCTGCATGAGTGGAAATATGTAAGTATAGGGAACCTGAAATTCTCAAATTGCTCAGTTCTGCATTCCTTGAGATAGTTGTATCATTTTAAACAAAAAGCATAATCCTTTTTATTTGAGATCTTAAACCATTTTTAAAATTAAAACAGCTGCTTATTATTTGTAATATCTTAAAGTTCAGGATGTTTCCTTCTGTGTCCTTGTTAATTTAATGTAGTTGCAGCTTGCCTGATTAAACAGTGCAGCATAAAGGCATCCTTCTGTGGCAGAACACTGTTGTGAGATAAGAACATTTACAGAAGGGAAATTATAAATTCTGTTAAAACATCTCTGTGCTGAATTTAATCTCTGTGACTAAAATGGGTTTGTACGAGCGTTTGGACTTAATGTAGTCATTCTTGGGCCTTGAATATGTGGATGTATTTGTTTTTCCAATGAATAGAGGCATTGAGCAGTGCAGGACTCATAGAAGTTGTGACGAAAATGTGGACTTGTAAAGAAGATAAACTGTGCTGACAAGGTTAGAAGAATAATACAAGGTGCATAGTTCATAAAAAGCGAACAGGAATAAATTTATTAAGGATGAGTGGTAGGTCAGCACTTGCATGATAATAGTGGAAAAACGCTGCCTGGATCAGGATGCAGATCTTCCACTAGCAAGAGAATCATCCAAGGTACAGGGGATACAGAATTCTTTCAGTTTGAGAGGCTGGTAAAATTAAGTAAGTGGATTATAGAGCTGAGAAAATTTGGAAATGGGACATTTAATATGGTACTCCATTCATGGTGCTTGTTCTTATTTTGGCAAAATGAAATCATGCCTATATTAAGTGTAGTTATAAACAGAAAAGCCTAGTTTAGTTGTATTTAAAGGAGGTTTGTGCCACTCCTTAGTGGGTTAGAATATTTTTTCCATTGAGACATTCTGAACCAGAGAATAAGCTGTGGTATGTGAAATCGAAATGTCTGAAAACTTAGTGATCTGCACTTTTTTCAAGTTGGAGAGTGGATTTAAAATTTTAAAATATTACCATAATCCCCCATTGGACAGTCATCTTCAGTCATTTATTGTCCTGCAGTTGGCAGGGAACTGTGTATTACCCAATTTATTCTGGGTTTGGATGTGGCTGCAGCTGTACTTTGCTATACTATTTTGAATACCATCTGACTGGGCTTGGCATCTGTAAAAAAAAAATCCAGAAAGGAAGTTAAATATGCACATATATATATATTAAAAAAAAAAAATTAAACCCACAATAAAAGAAATGCTTTTGAGGGCTGATGGTATCCTGTTGTTGCTCTAGTCAGTCAAACTCTCTGTTAGAAAAATGAACAACTTGTGATTTGCTTTCCCTCACAGCCCCAGTCAGACTTGCTAGAGCTGATTCAGGTCATGATTGTTGTGTTTGGAGAGGAACCTCCAGTCTTTTCTCGGCCCACGGCTTCGTCGAGCTACCCACCATACCAGGCTACAGGCCCTCCAACTAGTAAGTGCTCATGACTACTAATTTCTGCAAATAATCGTATTAATATTCCACAGGGGTTTTACCCTGCATAATTTTCCAACAAATTATGCATTTTACAGTAGAATGACTTTGGGTATTGCTGGCTGATGAATTCATCTGTGCTGTACTTGGCCTCATTGGACTTGGTGATCTTAAAGGTCTTTTCCAACCTAAAAGATTCTGTGAGTCTAAGAATGCGTGTGTTTTTTAGGTTTCTGGAAGGGAAAAACCAAGCTGGTATTAAAACCCAAACAAAACCCAAACACACACATACAAACACTCCCTAAGCTTCTCAAAACAAGCAGTATCCTGCCAATATTCTGAGATAGCCTTTATTCAGATAACTGTATTTTAATTTTATTTATTCTGATAATACATGTTCATCTGTTACATTGCCTGCAACCATTGATTTCATAAGCAAAAGCATGCTATATTGCATGTGTTTCCTATGCCCATGCTCCTGTTTTGTGGGGTTTATTTTTATTTTTTAAAAAATGATGGCTGAATGTGAAAATACCCCTGCCTTGTGATTGTTTTGTTTATTCTTCTCTGTTGATCTGGTGCTCTGACCAGATCAACAATCTGGTACCCATTCTTGTTTCCTTGCAAAAATTCTCAAGACATTTTAAATCTTGTATTTATTTAAACTTGTGGAGGCATCTTGTTTTAAAGACTGGGGATAGGTGGGTGGGACAAAAAGGGGAAGGAGGAAACAGAAAATCCTAGAAATTCTCCCAAGAGGAGACTCTGCATAGGGTAGAGTAGACCTACTGAAAGCAAAGACTGGGGCAGGAGGGGAGTGGGTTCAGATTAGCTGGAGATTCTTTAATGATTTTATAAGACTTCTAATTTTACCTTAATGGTAGAGTATTTGTATTTGGGGCTATTTATTTCTGCTGTATTTTTAAGGCTGTTTACTCTTCAACTGCAGTATGGCTTTTGCCTGATCATAGAGTTACATATGGAATGCTGAAGTGCTATTCACTTCCATTTCCAGCAGAAACCATTTTTAACAAGGTCTTAGGCTCTTAACCTGTGAGAAAAGGGATAGCAAACATAAATGGGACTTTTAGGAATAGTCAGATAAAGCTTGGAGCTTTTTTGCCTGTCCAGTGCTAGCCTGCCTGTAAGAGCACTAGATGATTGTATTGTCCTGATCTTCCAGGAACAGTGGGTGTCAGTCTAAGTGTAGTTTTAGTAGAGGCTGTGACTTGTGCTTTAAGGACAGACCATCAACTGGAACACACTTGTTTACTCTTGTAACCACTCAAAACTGAAGTACTTTGAATTACTATTTTGAATTGAATTGAATTGAACCGAAGTACTATGAATTACTTCATAGCTGAAGTAATTTTAGTGGAAATGTTTCAGGGGTTTTAAATTGTTAATAGCTACTTAATTTTCCTAGTCTAGTCAGACTTTCCTTATTTTGCAGACATTTAAGATTTGGGTTTTTTCAAGTTCTACAGACATTGTTTGAGAAGAAATTAAGCCCTTTTACAAAAACTGTAAAAACATTTGAAAGCATTCAAGGGTGAAAATAGCTTGGCTCTTAAAAAAAACCCCAAACACTATTTGATGTAATATTCCTAAAATTGCTAGAAATGTGGAATAAGTATGTCCAAAACATAATTTCTGTCTTAAAATTGTGAAGACTGTTAAAGCCTTACACATTTTTATGTGCTGATAACAGTTTTTTAAAGTATAATTTTAAATAGCAGAAATTGCTGGGTAAGAACATTGTTAAACAGTTAATCAGGTGTTTTGAAAGCCAGCTACTCTGAAGGTACTTAAATTATGCACTCATTATTTAGTGAACACTGGCTACATTAGAAAGGTTATTTTATTTTCTCAGCTACTATATAAAAAAGCTCCTCAGATGTGTCATCTTTAATACCGTGACTTTTTAAGTTCCCTGGCTGCTCAGAGAGGTCATGGAGTCTCCCTCTCTGGAGACATTCAAAACCCACCTGTACATGTTCCTGTCTCACCTGCTGTAGGCAACCTTGGCAGCAGGGGTTGGAGTGGATGATCTCTCCAGAGGTCCCTTCCAACTCTAACAATTCTGTGGTTCTGGGAAATAACACAGTGTTAGTTGTTCTAAGGAATGTCTGATTGAATTCCATTACAGTTCTCGCGCTCTCCCTCCAAACAAAAATACTCTTGAAAATATGTTAACCACGTTTGATAGGTAGAGGTAGAATCTTCAGAAATGTAAAATTTGCCTCTCATTTGTTAAAATGTGCTTGGTTACACAGAAGAAATTCTAACTGGTGAGTGCACGGTGGGAAGGTCTGCTGCAGTTTAGTCCTTTTTGTGTTTAGAGAGGGAGCGGCTGCCCTGGTCAGTGGATGTACCAAACACCTGCACGTTTGCCTCTTGCTGAGCTGCACGAGAGCAGCAGGGAAAACATCTGGGATTGTTGTGAAAAGGGGTGGTGGTAGGGGATGCAGGGTGTGTGTTTTTGAGGGGGTTTGGCCACAGAATGACTTCTCTTTACTCCTTTTCCATTGTGTTATACTGAATTCATTGTCCAATAAATTTTGAAAAGCGTCTTACTGCAGTTGATATATCAGGGCATGTATTAAACTTCTGAAGTGTAAAAATGTGCAAAATCCTTGTTTTGTTTAGCTTCCTATGTGCCAGGAATTCCAGGTGGAATATCTCCCTATCCAGCAACAAACACTCCAAATCCTAGGTAAGAACCCCTTTAAACCAGCATCAACCATTTACAAGGTAGGGAGTTTCAC